TAATAATAATAATAATAATAATAATAACTGACTTATATCGTCCAACGACATTCACCACAACCGGAACATCCTCTCTCAGTTCTTTCCGGAAGAACTTAATCACATTCGCACTCCACTGACTCTGATCATTCGTTGGTTTTACACCGTATATGCACATTTGTAAGCACATCGGTGGCCGATCACAGTGCCTTTGTTATTATCATTATTATTATCACTGCTATTCTATACCTTTTTTGCAAAAACATTCGTGAGTAGATCACACAACAACCGAAATCAAAACTCACATCGCATGAATTTCGAACAGAGTCGATAGAATGCGGATTTCTGTGCCACCCGAATCCAGAAAACGTATTCGACAGTAATAATCATCTTTGATCGCCGCCTTCTGAATGAGAAATTCCGCTCAATTAACTGTTCTGGATTCATTTCGAATAATCACAATTAGATCAGATGAATGAATACTTATAAGACAATGCAGCATCACATGACAATAACACTATTAATAATAAGAGAAATAATCTGACTGAAAATGAACAAGCAAACGAATTCTTAATAACCGAATCCATCGAATATTGTTTATCCATTTCTCGAATTTCTTTTTGTTTCCGAATTTTCTTAATCAAAGCGAATAGATTTGTGATATGTATAGNACGCGTTTGCCCGTTTCCAAACAATCCTTACTGTACACAGAAAATAAATGACCACTTTATACAACATCAAATGATTCGAAAATTTCTCAAAGAAACACTATAAATTTTGCAAAAAACCAGACAAAAAACTGATAAAAAGATGAAAAAAGCTTATACGAAAATGAAAAATGAAAATTTTTTTTTCATTGTTTGTTCCTAACAAATTTTTCAAAATAAATTTTTTAAATTTTTCATTAAAATCGTAAAATTTTCAGGAAATCAGCGCAGTCAACTGACACTCGTGCGATGTCGATAAATTTTCGATTGTTCGGATGTCCGTAGAAAGTGTTCAGCTCTTCGGCATACTTCTGCAACTCCTCATTAGCGGTTATCATCGCGTCGTCCTCCACTGCAATATCGCTGCCATTCGACGGCATCGATTCGTCATCGCTTTTCGCACTCTCCAAGTTATTATTCACACGTATCGGTCGCGCGTAGAATTCGTACGGTGACACTGTATGACTGAATCAATTGCTTATCAATTATTGTTAATATCAATGGGAAGATTTTTTTTTTGGAAAAAATTATGGAAGAACAGTCATCCTTCTTGCAGTATGGAAGTCCTTGTTTTATTCTTTCTTTTTTCAGACTGAAAATTGATTCGATAAATGAGGACTGATTTTATTATCAGCCCATTTCATTGAGTTATTAATTATCAGGTTCTCAGAATAATATGGCAAAACTCTTCCCATTTCATTCGTGCCACTGCTATGAATGAGCATAATATTCTTTTAGAATTCATGCGACTAATTCAATTTATGACCAAAGTGATCATTATAACTGGCTATCGCTGATCAAAATTGAAATCCTTTCGAGTTGAAATCAAGAATTGAGATTCACGCAAAGACTCTCTCTCCCTCTCAATCGCTCGATGAAGTCAAAACAAAAGATTCAATCGATTGCATAACTGAAACAACATGAACTTACCTTCCTTCAATATTCACCACCATTTCACCTCGAATGAAATATCCTTCCTTTTCAAGCATATCCACGTCTACGATTGGAATCTTAAAAAAGTGCTTCTAAGCATGCTTACATATGCCGTGCAGAACGCATTTAAAAGATGCGTTCAAAAGAAATGAATGATAAAAAGTGGTAATAATAAAGGTAATGATAATAACATGATATGTTCATGAATATAAGATTTTTGTCAACACGTAAATTGTTTATCAGAGTCGTTTCAGCGACTTATTGTCATCTAATATTAAAAGGCAAGTGCGATATTGTCTTATTGCTCGATATCGCGCCTTATGGTATCACATTATGGTAAGGAGGAGCGTGATTAACCAAGCAATCGTTGATTAATAATTGTATTCTCTAGCTCGTTTCAACGTTTGGCTACATCTCGATCCTTTCATACTATTACTATGTGTAAAGGCAATCGTT